AAAAAAAAAAAAAAAAAAGTAAATGACTTCTCAGAACTAAAGGTAGTATAGTAGAGTAATATTTCATTTTTCTGTCAGTATTAACACTTTATCAAGATTATTTTTGAAAGACACTTAAATGACTTCTTGTTGGAAGCCAGATTTTCATTCACTGGTGGCATATATTGACTTTGTTCTGTTGGGTTACCTGATAAAAATAGTTTATAAACCATATCATACAATGCTGTTAATGGAAATGTAAGAACTAACATATGGATAGTTTTGTTTTTGAAAACCCTCAAACCAAGTTTGCTAAAAGAAAGGAAAATAGTAATAAAAAAAAAGGAAAGGAAAATTGCTGTAAAGCTAGATCAGGATGGCAATTCCCTTTCATGTACAAGCTTGGCATATGAGATGCAAACACATGAACTAATCATTTAATTAAACTGATGAACAAGTCTGTGAGTTAATAAAAGTAGAAAAAGAAGTAGGATGGTTAAAGTGAAGAGAGACATCTGTCCTGGTTGTCCTTAAGAAACTATCAGAATAGACAACATGTCTAATAGCTAATTTGTCATTCCAAAATTCAAATGGAAAAACTTGGAAAATATGTAACTATGGATTATAGTGGTTATTTGGATTGCTGTGACTTTTTATTTTTTTTTGGTCAATTGTGGGGCTTGAACTCAGGGCCTGAGTGCTGTCTCTGAGCAATTTTTGCTCAAGGCTAGCACTCTACCACTTGGAGCCACAGTTCTACTTCTGGTTTTTCTGGTGGTTAATTGGAGGTAAGCATCTCACAGACTTTACTGTGTGGGCTGGCTTTGAACCTCAATCCTCAGATCTCAGCTTCCTGGGTGGCTAGGATTATAGGTGTGAGTTACCAGTGCCAAGCTGTCAGTACGAAGTTTTTTTTAATGTTGTCTGACAGTTTATGTTAACTTTTTTTCTGGCATTCTTGGGGTTTATACTCAGGGACTTTATCTTGCAGAACAAGTGCTTTATATTTGAACCACACCTCTAGTCCTGTTTGCCTTTTTTTTTTTTTTTTTTCGTCAGTCATGGAGCTTGAACTCTGGGTCTGGGCACTGTCCCTGAGCTCTTCAGCTCAAGGCAAGCGCTCTACCACTTGAGCCACAGCACCCACTTCTTGCCTTTTCTGCGTATATTGTGCTGAGGAATCGAACCCAGGGCCTCATGCATGCGAGGCAAGCACTCTTACACTGAGCCACCTTCCCAGCCCTCCTGTTTGCTTTTGATCTTTTTTTTTGGTCCTGGGAACTAAACTCAGGGCCTGGGCACTGTTTCTCAGCTCTTCAGCTCAAGGCTGGTGCCCTACCACTTGAACCACAGCACCACTTCCGGCTTTTTTCTGCTTATGTGGTACTGATGAATTGAACCCAGGGCCTCATGCATGCAAGGCAAGCACTCTACCACTGACCACCTTCCCAGCCCCTTGATCATTTTTTTAGATAGAATCTCAATACTTTTAACCCAGGGCCAACCTCAGACTATTATTCTGCCACTTAGAATTACATATGTGAGGCACCTTGCCTGGGAATTTTTGTTGTCTTGAGACATTGGTTTAAAATTAAATTGGCTTTTTTTTTTTTATTTCATTGGTTTGCATTTGGACATCACATTCAAGGTCCTGTCATATGGCTTCAAAACTGAGTTAAATGAGTATATGTAACCCTTCTTTATTTTTCCCCTACCATCCCTTCCTTCCCACATTCCCCCCTGCAAAGATGTAAAGTTCATTTTCAACATACTGTCTTGTACATCTCATTGTTACAAAGCATTTTGTTATTTCCCTTCCCCTTCCCAAATTAGAAAAATGTATATACAAGATGCAGGACACAGGAATTCAATACATGTGATTTGTTTGTTTGTTTTTTTGTATGTTCTCCCCCCATGGTACAACCCCGTCAACATTTTTTTAATTTTTTTTTTTTTTGTTGTTGGTCATGGGGCTTGAACTCTGGACCTGAACGCTGTCCTTCAGCTCTTCAGCTCAAGATGAGCGCTCTACCACTTGAGGTAGAGTGCCCCTTCCAGTTTTCTGGTGGTTTATTGGAGATGGTAGTCTCACGGTCTTTCCTGCCCAGGCTGGCTTTGAACCGTGATCCTCAGATCTCGGCCTCCTGAGTAGCTAGGATTACAGTCTTGCGCCACCAGCGCCTGGCCCCATCAGCATTTTTTAAGTGCTTATTATGGCTCACTGGAGAAGGAACCATCCCTATTAAACAACACTTAAATCCTTTTCATGTGGACTGAGGTTGTGGTTACATGAATGGAAGACATTGACATGGTAACAGTGACTTCATTGACATACTTTTATTTTTTTATTTTTTTTAAATTTTATTTTTGTTGGTCGTGGGGCTTGAACGCTGGACCTGAGCGCTGTCCCTCATCTCTTCAGCTCAAGGCTAGTGCTCTACCACTTGAGCCACAGCACCACTTCTGGTTTTCTGGTGGTTTATTGGAGATAAGAGTTTCACAGACTTTCCTGCCCGGGCTGGCTTTGAACTGAGTTTCTCAGATCTCAACCTCCTGAGTAGCTAGGATTACAGGCATGAGCCACTGGCATCTGGCATGACATACTTTTATATGTAATGTAACATTCATACTCATGAAGAGTGTGTGGTGTTCATATTGGGGAGATATGAATACAAACATTGGTCAGCCTTGCTCAGACATAGCCACAAGCAGCTGATTGTGTAGGCTTGGTTAAAAAAAGATCTTTCCATCAGCCCTTCTGTCAGCTGACCAGATAATGAATACAATTGTGTGTTGATTTGATTCTGAAATCTACTTACAGTGATGTTTTTGTTTTGATTTGGAAACTTTTCTTTTGTAAATCTTATAGGCAAAAATAATGTGTTCTTCAATATGTAAGTGTATTGGCTGTAAGAATTTTGAAGAAAGCCCAGAAAGAAAGACATTGATGCACTTAGCAGATGCAGCTGAAGTAAGGGTCCAGCAGCAAACGGCTGCGAAGACGAAGCTGTCTTCTCAGATTTCAGATTTGCTTACTAGGCCAACGCCAGCTTTAAATAGTGGAGGAGGAAAGTAAGTTGATAGTTTTGATTTCTTCTTTTTTTCTCTCTCTCTCATATTCATTTTGATAAGGAAGGTTTCTCTTTAGAAGGTCAAAGTTGAATTGGTTAAATTCTGGTTTTTCCATTTTCCTTCCATCTTTCTTACTTGTGAAGGAATTTATGGTAACAGAAAACCCTATAAGACCTGTTGTGCTATTCTAAAGTACACAGTAGTGTTTTAATTTCTGTGTTTAAAATTTAATTGGTTTTATCTCTACTGTTTGAGTACTCTCAAGCAAACCAGTTTTTTTTTTTCAGCGTATGCTCTTTCTCATATCTCTTGCCTTCTTTTACTTTTTCCTTGTTCTTGGAGCACTTCTCCTATTCTGTTAGACCACCTTGACACTGTAACATTGAAATATGGTTGTTATCTCTTTAACTAGAATGCTGTGCTCCTGAGTAAAAAGCTTTGACCTTAACTCAGGCAACTGGGCACAGTTGCGAGTGCCTATAGTCCCAGCTACTTTGGCAAAAGGCTAATGCAGAGGATCACTTGAGCCCAGGAGTTTCATACCAGTTTGATCAGTGCAGCAAGAGCCCATCTCAAAGCCAAAATAAAACCAAACACACACACACACACACGCGCGCACACACACGTGCGCGCGCGTGCACACACACACATGCACACACACACACACACACACGCACGAGAAATAGATTAATTGAAGATCTGTACTCCCAGATGTTTTTGAAAAGGTGGAAGAAGGAACAAGGTCAGAGTTTAATACAGTCTATGCTGTTTAGTACTGAGTTAAATAAACAAGTAGCTCTACTTATAACCTAAGTTTTCTTATCCTTAAAATGGCTTTTACAGGTGGCTGTGAGCAATGAAGCATTTTCATTATAGGTGTTTGTCAGTATACCAAAACAGTTTATAATTTGGACTTAGGTTTATTTATTAGACATTAATTTGAAGAATTATTAAGAGAATAGACCTGGCATTTATTATTTAAAAATGCTTAAGTGGAAATAAGATCCAGCTGGGTGCTGGTGGCTTATGCCTGTAATCCTAGCTACTCAGGAGGCTGAGATGTGAATATTGTGGTTTAAAGCCAGCCTGGGCAGGGAAGTCTGTGAGACTCTTACCTCCAATTAACAACCAGAAAACTGGAAGTGGAGCTGTGGCTCAAAGTGGTAGAACACTAGCATTGAGCAAAAGAGCTCAGGGACAGCCCTCAGGCCCTGAGTTCAAGCCCCACAGTTGACAAAAAAGAAATAAGATCTGATTTGTTACTTAGAAAAGTAAGGCCCTCCCTCCCTCCCTCCCTTCCCTTCTCCTTCCTTCCTTCCTTCCTTCCTTCCTTCCTTCCTTCCTTCCTTCCTTCCTTCCTTCCTTCCTCCCCACCCCTTTCCCCTCCCCTTCCCTTCCCTTCCTCCCCCCCCTTCCTTCCTTCTTTCCTTCCTTCCTTCCCCTTGAACTCAAGGCCTGGTTCTTTTCTAGACCTCTGCCACTTGAACCACAGCACCACTTCCAGTTTTTTCTGAGTAGTTTATTGGAGATATGAGTCTCATGGTCTTTACTGCTTGGGCTGGCTTTGAACCACAATCCTCAAATTTCAGCCTCCCGAATAGCTAGGGTTACATGCATGAGCTACCATTGCCTAGCCATAAACCTTTTTTTTTTTTCCTACAAAGTATTTTAGCCGTTAGTGGTTTTTTTGTTTTGTTTTTGGTTTGGTTTTATATATTTATTTGAGACAGGTTCTTGCTGTGTAGCCCTGTCTGGCCTTAAACTTAACGATCCTCCTGTCTTGAGCTTCAAGGATTGAGTTCAGTGTGTTGCCACCATTGGTTCTAAGGATTGCCCTGTTGGTTCTAAGGAACTGTTAGCACTGAAACATAATTTGGAAATTGTCTTGACTGTACACAGTGGTGGTTGGCTCTTTAGGGAGTTGACATGGGTTCCTTTCTGGTCTTAATGATCCTTTAAATGATGGAATCTAATCTCCTTGTGGAGATTAAATATATTGGCGCAGTAAAATATTTTTAATTTTCCCACTTGGGAGAATGTTTATAGATATGAACACTAAATTATACACTATGGGACTAGAAACATAGTTCAGGGTATGTGCAAGGAGGCACTGGGTTTGAACTTTCATGCACACAAGAAATAATGTACACTGTAATCAAGGATGTTTTTTTAAAAGCTATGAAGTTATACCAGCACTCTAACAAGTCTTTGAGTGTTTTACCTTTGATTCTTTGCCTTTCCTCATTCTTGTTTATAGTTCTAAATATTTTATAATGGGCATTTTTATGGTATTTGGCTAGTATTACTAATTAAACACTGTAGTATTAACATTGTGGCATTAATATTTTTAAATGCTTCCTTATACATTGAAGATTGCTATACAATTGAGTGGCAGCCTGAACTTTTGTCATGTTGGGCCATAATTTAGTCCTGCAGTGTTCTATATTGGCCAATTATATACAGGCTATTCAGTTCATGGATGATTAGGTTGCAGTATTTACTGTGTCAGGCTTACACTTGACTTGGCTATAATATAGAAAGCTTCAGCACAGATTACTACTTAGCAGTTCAAGTCTGTGTCATTGACACTGTGTAGAGTAGTATTTGACTTTCCCTTTGTTTTCTTTGTTGTGATGGAACAATGCAGATTTGGGTATGCTTATTTGTTTTTTTTTTTTTACAAACAATGCAAAGAAATGTGTTAAAAATGTATTCAGTTTCAAATATTACTCATCCAGCAAATACTCAGGGAATATCTGTGAGTTGCTCATTGTTATAGGCACAGGAGAAACAGAAAAATTATCAAAACATTTGTGGAGCTTATAGTCATGAATTGGGTGAACTCCACTTTCAGAAGTGTCCAGTATACTGGTACAATTATGTCTTTTAGTTAATCAGATGATCTTGTGTAGGTAAGAAATCAGGTGTTTTATAATAAATCATGTATTTCCTGAACTACCTTTTAAAATGTGCTAGAGGATGAGAAAAAAATCTAACTTTATTCAGCTCTTTAGTGTGTGTTTACAATGCAAATTTTGATGCTCATGTGGGTGAAATGTAGAAGTGTCATCTGAGATTCCCAGAAGGGTTTACCCAATCACTATCATTATCATCTCACTCTCTCTCTCCAAAATCATTTCAGGTTACCATTTACATTTGTAACTAAGGAAGTAGCTGAAGCCACATGTAACTGCCTTCTTGCCCAGGCTGAGCAGGCAGACAAGAAGGGAAAGTCAAAGGCTGCAGCGGAACGGATGATACTTGAGGAGTTTGGACGATGTCTGATGAGTGTCATCAACTCTGCAGGAAAGGCAAAGAGCGACCCCTGTGCCATGAATTGCTAACTCCAGCCCAGGAGATGAGGAAGGGAGCTGTACAGGAAACTTAATTTTTTGCAAGCTAGTTTAACAATTACTGTATTTTAATTCAGTCCTTGTTTTAAAGAACCTGAAATAATATTGAAAGAGAAGAAATTTTAAATGAGGAAATTAGTACATTTTAAATAATAGTTAATTCTGCTTATGCCCCTTCTAAATTGAATTTAACTTAATTTTTTTCCTTTATTGTATTATATAGATGTTTAATTTGCTTGAGTTTCTTAAGAAGTAGATGTTCTGTCCTTCTGATTTTATTGATAAAAACACTTATAAATTACTGTAATATAATTTATAATGTATGGTGTTGTATGACTTTATTCAATAGAAGAAGCCAAAGCAGCATGGGTATTACCCAGTCATCTTTGGTTCTAGATCTAGAATATTTCAGATATGCAGATAGAATGTCTACATAACAAATTGTTATGAAGCAGATTCAAATGACATTTTGTGTTAGAAGAGCACTCTCTTTTTAAGAAAAAAAATCATCTTTTTAGGATAGATTCTGAAATTACCAACAAGTAATCCCCATGTACACTTTTAAAATGAAAAAAAAAACTGTTTTAAAAAAACAAATCCACAATAAGGTATTAAGGGGCAGTAAGGACTTTGAGAGGATGGCATGTACTCTTGTGAGGAATGGCTCACCTGCACTAGGTGTCCAGTTTCCCTCTCAGAGGTGGTGCATGTTGGAACAGTTGTCATGTGGAAGTAAGAGGGCTGTGAAGAGAAGCACACACCATTACATTGAGACAGGACAGAAGGGATCCCATGGAATAGGGATCAGGCTCAGCATTGGGCTTGGAAAGAGATGTCAGGAATTTTGAGGTTGAAAGAGATGAATTTAGGGAAGGACTTTTCACAGATCTTTTTGTAGACTTTGGAACTGAGACATTTCAGACAATACCTGTCTCTTTACTTGATGTACTGAAAATGGGCCACCTAACAAAACTTTCAGAGATGTAATGGGATTTGATTTTATAAGGAATCTTTAATATGGTTTACTTTAAGCCAGTGAGTTATTAAGATGAAGTTGGGTGTTTTCATATAACTAACATAACATAAATCATTTTTAGTAATTCAAGAGCTCTATGAATTTAAGAGTCTATTGTAATAGGAGTTTGATTTTATGAAAGGAAAAAACCATGTTGAAATTCAGACATTTTGTTTGTTCCTTAATCCTCAGTAATTATTACATTTCCTCCAAGGACTATAGTTGTATGTATTAAGTATGTATATATGTTCATATGAACATGAAAGATACAGGCAATAGAAAAAATACAAAAGAGGATTCCGTTATTCATTTAAGTATCCTTCTTTAGGTTTATAAAACTATAGTGCAGTAACTTTAAATGTAGATAATACAGATGTTTTTAGCACCTCATTCTAGTATGTCTAATTAAAATTGTATAAATGTAAATTAGTGTAAGGATAAAATATGTAATCAAGTTATTTTTCAACAGATTGCAATAAGTTTTTGGTCTAAACCTAAACTTTGTTCATTTTGTATATACTCTGTTTAATTCTAATTACATCATTGTGATGTGTATTTATATACAGTGTGCAGAAATGTTTGTGAAGTTCTCATTTAATTGTAGATTATGTACGATGGCATTGCTTAAGAATGTCTTGCTTGTAAAAATTTAAAGGTGCAATCAAATGCTACTAGTTTTTGATTTTCAAGAAACTAAAATATTAAGTTTTTCTTCCTGTGTAGTACATACTAAACAACTTTTTGTATTTAGGCATTTGCATCAAACTGCTGAACAAGATTAATAGTCACATTAATTCAACAATTTAAAAAGACTATTTGGGGAGGGCTGGGTATATAATTTTTTTTAGCTCTATTTACATCCCAAAGTAGAAAAGATTAAATTTATATTTCCTAGAGCTATTCAAAAAATACACTTTTCTATATTGTAAAAACAGGACAGGAAAGAAAATCATACATAAAATAAACATTTATACTATTCTGTAAAAAAGTTTTTGCATTTATTTTTAATAACATTACTTTTAACCTTTCAACATGCAAGAAACCTAATTTTATCTGATTTTCAGGTATATCTGACATTGTTTCTAAAAACATACAACAAAAGAACTAATTCTTAACACAAATTGCTTTCAAGTGAGATCATCTCTACTTTTGTCTATTTTCTTCTAGGATTAGTAACTCCCATCTCCATTTACTTTTTAATGTGTGATATTCTTTATATAGATATAAAATTGTTATTGTAGAGGTGATATACAGAGGGGTTACAGTTACATGAATCAGGTAATGAGTACATTTCTTTTTGAACCATGTCTCACCCTCCATCACTTTCTCCCAGTTTTTCCTCACCTACAAGATGTAGAGTTCATTTCCCACATAATGTCTAGGGAGTTACCCCCGTTGTATTTGTTCACCCATTGATGTGTGGTATTCTTTTCATAGTGTCTTGTCTTTGGAGAACGGAAAGCAACCTGCAGGTCTTCCCTGGAAAATGGAGCCTTAAATGCAGCAGGTATAAGCAAGTAGACCCAATGATTCAGCCTCAGGTTTTGATATTTGAGAATTGGTATTTTCCCAATCTTATGTACAATGTGAATAAAAATGCCTTTAGAAAAAATTTTCATTTTTGTCCTATAATACTAGTAATAAGAAACTGAATGTTTTTAGTCAGTCTTTCTGTGGTTATACTGTACCTCTTAGTGCTTACATAGGATTCCTAGAGCTACCACTAAAGTCCAAGAAAGCCAGTAAGCTAGTCTTTTTTTTTTTTGTTGGTCGTGGGTCTTGAACTCTGGGCCTGGGCGCTGTCCCTGCACCCTTCAGCTCAAGGTGAGCGCTCTACCATTTGAGCCACAGTGCCACTTCTGGCTTCTGCTTATGTGGTACTGAGGAATCGAACTCAGGGCCTCATGCATGCAAGGCAAGAACTCTACCACTGAGCCACCTCCCCAGTCCCTCAGCTAGTTTTTACCATTGGTGCTAATATGTATTATGAAAATTACCTAAGCATTTTTTCTTTAAGTTTTCCTTTTTCTTTTCTTCTTTTTTTTTTTTTTTTGGGTCCGGTTGTGGGGCATGAACTCGGGGCCTGGGCCCTGTCCCTCAGCTCTTCAGCTCAAGGCTAGTGCTCTACCACTTCAGACACAGTGCCACTTCCGGCTTTTTTCTTTTTGCTTATGTGGTGCTGAGGAATCGAACCCAGGGCCTCATGCATGCAAGGCAAACGCTCTACCACTGAGCCACCTTCCCAGCCCCTCTTTTCTTTTTGCCAATACTGGGGTTTGAACTCAGGGCCTGGGCACTGTCCCTGAGCTTCTTTTTTCTCAACGTTAGCATTCTACAAGTTGAGCAACAGACCCACTTCTGGCTTTTTCTGTGTATGTGGTACTGAGGAATAGAATCTAGGGGTTCATGCATACTAGGCAAGCACTCTACCACTAAGCCATATTCCCAGCCCCTCTTAAGTTTTCTTTAATTCACAATTTAGCATTCATTTGTAGGCCAAATGTGAGCTTTTTTTAAAAAAAAATTCTAGATGATTTTCTCCCCATGCTGCGATTAAACCTAGGGCCTTTGCACATGCTAGACAAACATTCCACCTGCTGAGCTATCCAAGGCCAGACCAGGAGATTTTATGTAATGAATACTGTAATGAGTTTTTGAAAATTAAATATTTCAAGTGAGGTGCTGATGGCTCACACTTACAGTCCTGGGCATTCAGAAGGCAGATATCTGAGGATCAAGGTTTCTAAGTCAGCCTCAGTGGACAAATCTCAGGGATTCTTATTTCCAATTATTAGTAAAAAACTAGAACTGGAAGCATGGCTCAAGTGGTAGAGCTGGAAACAAAGTGAGGGAAACAATGTGAGTGTGAGGCTTTGAGTTAAACCAATAGGTCAACAGTAAAAAAACAAAATATTTCCTTTTCAGTGGTAAATTTTGGGACAGGATATATGACATTCTTCGTTTTTACTCAAAAGCATTAAGTATATTCAAAAAGTACACGTTTTATTATAAGACCACAAGGACTTTGTGATAGCAACTGAAATCTGGCAGTGTAAAAAAAAAGAACACATAATGACCAAGTAGAATCTATCCTAGGAACAAGACTGGTGATAAAACAGTAAGAAAAATCAATGTAATCAATATACAAGAAAGAAGGGAAATGGGACTAGGTGCATTGGCTAATGCTTATAATCCCAGATACTTGGGAGGCAGAGATTTTGGAAGATCATTCAAGACTAGCTCAGGCAAGAGTTACTGAGTTCATCACAGCAAACAAGCTGGATATGATGTAATCCTAGTTACGTAGAAGCCAGCCTAGACAAAAACACAGGAATATACCAGACAAATAAGCCTAAAGGATTTGTGGGGAGGGATTAAATAGACTCACATTTACTATGCAGGCACTCTACCATTTGAGCCAAACCTCATCCACCTTTTCCTATCTATTCTTGGTTTGAAAGGTTTGGTGTTATTTAAGATGCCAATTCTTGCCTGTAATCCCAGCTTCTTGGAAGGTGGAGATTATGGCTTGAGGACAGCATGGGCAGGCTAGAATTAAGCAACTCTCAACTAACAGACTAAGTAATCCCAGCTACATGGGAGGGATAGGTAGGAGCATTGCAATCCAATCTGACTATAGTCATGTTGGACTTACCTACATTTGTCTTATATACCTAGTATTGCTAGGTCTCAGGTAACTGATACACCTTTTGGGGGGGAGTGGTGGGGAGTACTTGTTGAACTCAATGCCTTGCAACTGCTTGGCAAATTTTCTGCCACTGACCCTTACCCCATTTTACCTCTTGAAAATTTCTCAAAGCACATCTATGATCTGTAGTATTTTATCCCACCAATTGTGAATGAGGGTCCTAATTTCTCCACATTCTCTCCAGCACTTGTCTTTTTTAAAATCCCCCACCACCCCCCCTTTTTTTTTTGTTGCTCATGGGGCTTGACCTCGAGGCCTGGGCTTGTTTGCTCAAGGCTAGAGCTCTGCCGCTTTGAGCCACAGTGCCAGTTCTGATTTTCTGATGGTTAATTGAAGGTAAGAGTGTCAACAGACTTTCCAGTCTAGGCTGGCTTTGAACCATGATCTCCAAATCTCTGCCACTTGAGTAGCTAGTATTATAGGTGTGAACCTATAGCACTTGTCTTACTTAAACTTAGGAACTGGGTGCTGTTCCTTAGCTTTTTTTGCTTAAAGCTACTTCTTTACCACATGAGCCATGCCTCAACTTCCAGATTTTGGTGATTAGAGGTAAGAGTCTCATGGACTTTGCAGACTGGCTTCAAACAATGATCCTGAGATCTCAGCCTCCTGTATAGCTGGGATTACAGGTGTGAGCCACTGGAGCCTGGTTCAGCACTTCTTTATTCCAGGCATCCTAGTTGGTGTGAAGGAAAAGGGACATCTTACTACAGTTTGTTCTGATGGTTAATGATGGTTGGTAAACAATTTCATTGCCATTTGAGTATCTTCTTTAACATGTCTATTAATATTCTACCCATTTTAAATTTTGGCTTTGCCCTATTATCGAGTTATAATTCTTTGTACAATCCAGAATGAAATCCTTTTATGAGATGAATCATCTACACGATTTTCTTTTCATTCAGCTTATGTTCTCAGCTGACTTTCATGGGATCCTTCTGAAGTACAAGGTTATAATTTGAGTGAAGTCCCAATTTATTTTCTTTCATTCTTGTTCATTTGGTCTGTTAGCTAAGAAACCAACACCTAGTCCAAGTCTTAAGGATTTACTTCCTTTTAAGTTTTATAGCTTTACTTTTTACAATTGGGTCTTTTTCTGTTGCGAGTTCATTCTTTGGCACGTGTTTATCCAGTTGTCCAAGTACTATTTATTGGAAAGATAGATGAAATTAAAGAAAAGCTGGGTGCCGGTGGCTCATTCCTATAATCCTAGCTATTTAGGAGGCTGAAATCTGAGGATCACAGTTCAAAGCCAGCCTGGACAGGAACATCCATGAGACTCATCTCCAATTAATCACCAGAAAAACCAGAAGTGGTGCTGTGGCTCAAGAGGTAGAGCACTTGCTTTGAGCTGAAGAGCTCAAGGACAGCGCCCAAGCCCAGAGTTCAAACTCCATGACCAACAAAAAGAAAGTAATGAAAGAGAATATTTTTGCTGAAAAGATGCAGAATAGATATTATAATTAACTACACTAACCAAATAGGAATAAATCGTTTATTCCAACAAGACCGTTTGCTTTCTGAAGTGCAGTGAAGGAAATAGTCTCATGTTCAGCATTTATCTGTGAGTTACTTGCAAAGTAATGCAAAACATTAAGTATAAGAAATGTTAGGGGCTGGGAAGGTGGCTCAGTGGTAGAGTGCTTGCCTTGTATGCATGAAGCCCTGGGTTCGATTCCTCAGCACCACATAAGCAGAAAAACCCGGAAGTGGTGCTGTGGCTCAAGTGGTAGAGCACTAGCCTTGAGCTGAAGAGCTGAGGGACAGCGCCCAGGCCCAGAGTTCAGGCCCCATGACTGGCAAAAAAAAAAAAAAATGCTAGTACATTAGTCAAATACAACAGGAAAGAACAGCAGACATTACAGATGTGGACCACAATTTAAATAAAGATCAGGTATACAACCTGTATTTAGATAGGCAACAAGTTAAACGTATTGGTTTGCAAATAAAAAGTACAAACCTAAAACTTAAATAGAAATCATCAAAAGATGAACAGGAAAATGCCTTAAAGAGTACTAAAGTAACTGATAGTCTCTGGAGAATAAAGCCACCGAATGTAAGTATCCAAACAGTATATTTCCAAATATATGTTCATGTAGGTACATGATGCAAACATGCAACACATTTTTACTATTTCATTCTCTAAAGATGATACAAAGGAACTGCCCTGGTTTTTTTTTTTTTTTTTTTGTCGGTCGTGGGGCTTGAACTCTGGGCCGGGGCGCTGTCCCTCAGCTCTTCAGCTCAAGGCGAGCACTCTACCACTTGAGCTATAGCGCCACTTCCGGTTTTCTGGTGGTTTATTGGAGATAGGAGTCTCAGTCTTTCCTGCCCGGTCTGGCTTTGAACCGCGATCCTCAGATCTCAGCCTCCTGAGTAGCTAGGATTACAGGCGTGAGCCACCAGCGCCTGGCTAGGAACTGCCCTGTTTTAACCTGTCTCTTGATTACATAGGTCATAAAGCAATCTTGCTTGTGAACTCATGCAGAACTGTGCTCTGAGAAGTCTAGTTTAAAATTCTTGCTAAAACTTTCGTATAAAAATATATATAGTAAGGCAATGAGAAAATAGTACAGTAGTGACATAGCCCATTTAGTATGTTGAAACACTTTGTAAATTTTTTTAAACATATTTATTTTGTGGGAGGGCAGATATGGTGGTTTATGCTTTTAATTCCAAAGGAGGAGGAAGAGATTCAGATTACAGTTTGGATAATCCAGAACAAAAGGTTCACAAATCGCCACCTCAGTAAGTGGAGTGTGGTGTTTTGTACACTTGGGGTCCCAGCAGCATGGAAGGCAATAGGCAGGAAAACTAGTCCAAGACCAGCCTGGACAAATAGGAGACTGTCTTTAAAAAAAAATCTCAAACATAAAGGGCTGGGGGTGGGGCTCAAGCATTGTAAGGTAAATTATTCCAGAAGTCACATTTTAAAATATTGAATATTGGAGTCTTTTTTTTTTTTTTTTTGTCGGTCATGTCAGCCTGAACTCTGGGCCTGGGCGCCATCCCTGAGCTCTTCAGCTCAAGGTTAGCGTTCTACCACTTGAGACACAGTGCCACTTCCGGCTTTTTCTGCTTATGTGGTGCTGAGGAATCAAACCCAGGGCCTCATGCATGCAAAGCAAGCATTCTTACCACTGAGCCACCTTCCCAGCCTCTGAATATTGGAGTCTTTATTATACAGTTAACAGTCTGCAGGCCACCAGTTGTTACAAAGGTCTGCAGCACACAAATACACATAACACAGCTAGGAAACATGCTAAAGAGGAAAGATATGAACAAAAACAATACCAACAAGCCAATTCAGCTCCACTGGAGAGCTGAATTGGGATGCCATGATGTCTGGAGACAAGCCCGGAGAAAGGACACAGGATTACACAGAGACACGTGGCATGGAGTCCTCATGGCTAGGCAGTCCAGGCCCATATAGGTCCACACGGGGCAGATCCTCAGGAAATTCCCAGTCCCAGGCAGTGAACTGACAGATGCAGTAATCTATCAGCCAAGTGCCTGCTCCTGCCTCCAACGGTCTGGGCACACCCCTTAACTTGGAGGCAGGTGGAGGGGTTTCCTTCCTCCATCATGAAGACAAGATGCCAGACCCTACTATCCACCATGTGGCCAATATGACGCTGGCCAGACCTGGCCTCCTTACTTCACAAGCAGTAGAGTTATTTGTCTACCAAGTGTATGGACCCATGTTCAAATCTTGCCAATTTCTTTTTCCTTAGAGCATGGCTCTATTTCCAGCTACTTGAGAAGCAGGCAGGGATTACCAGTCCTGGCCAAAAGAGGGTAAAATTCCATCTCTACAAATCATCTGATTGTGATAGTTCCTGACTGTAATCCTGATTCCTGGGCAACTCCGCAGTAAGATTTCAGTCTGAGGCCTTCTCTGGCAAAAAGTGCAAACCCCTCTTTGGAAAATAACTAAAGCAAAACAGGATTGGGATTCAGGACTCCAAACTCCAGTACTGCCAAACCAACAAACAAACCAATTCCAGGCTGGGTGCTGGTGGCTCACGCATGTAATCCTAACTACTAAGGAGGCTGAGATCTGAGGATCGAGGTTCAAAGCCAGCCCAGGCAGGAAAGTCCATGAGGCTCTTATCTCCAATAAACCACTAGAAAATCGGAAGTGGTGCTGTGGCTCCAGCAGTAGAGCGCTTGCCTTGAGCTGAAGAGTGCTGGGACAGCATCCAAGCCCCACGACTGACCAAAAACCAAAAACAACCTCATACACACACACAAAAAAAAACCAATTTCACAACCTGGAATTTAAATATTTTAAAAAATTTCCTTGAAGGTACTTTTCCACTCTACAATCCTATAATTTATCAGCATTTCCATTGTAGTGGGGAGGTGCAGTGAGACCACTCAGTCCACAGTGAAAATGTAAAAAGATTTTATTGAGTGAAAAGTGCTGATCTGCCAGGACTGCACCTGGAGTTGGGATCCCAGGAAACAGCCCTGAGGGCCAGTCCATATTGTCTTTTAAGCATTTTGGGCTAGGGCGGGGAAAGGGGGAGTCTAGGTGTTGGTTTTAGCCAATGATTGTTACAAGAAATTCACACCTGAAGTTTAAATTTCCGCCAAGGTTTTGCTGGTGAGAAGCAGGGGAATAGAACAAAGGGTGGTGATGGTTCAGCTGGTTAGGGCTGGCATTGCTCAGAAAATAGCAAAAGCAGAGTTAGAGTTACAGAGTTAGAGTTACTAGCTAAAATAGCTAGTTACCAGGGAAGTCTTATCCACAGCATACTTATATATCTTAAAATCATTCATTATCCATTTTACACAATCCAAGTCAAATATTCCATCTTTACTTCCTTCACCATATCACCATCTCATCTTACACTCTTCCCACTCCAGAAGCTCTTTTTTTTCCCCATAAAAATACTTCCCAATTGTTTAACTTGTACTTCTTTGTGGGCAGGCATCTCATTTACCCACAGTTCTCCTTAAATATGCCTTCCACATTGATTCGAATAACCTATACCAATCTGGGCAATAAAATCTGAGTTCAGGTTAGACTGGTCTGAAATCGTGCTAAATACAGGTTCCTTGCCAGGCCCGGATTCAGTGACAACCCGGCCAGCCTTGCAAAATTCGTTTAACAAGTAGTGAACAATTTCAAAGTGAGCCAAGCCAGGCAAAACCTGGCCTGTACTCTACCTTAACCAGATGCCACGAACTCTACCACGAGGCCATGCGCTTTAAAAGGAGCGCTCACGCTTAATGAGTTTACCCCACTCCTCTCTCCCCCACTTGTTTTCATTGTTTTCTTTCCATGGCTAAGTAGCCGAAGCTGGCCTAGAACTTGGTATCCTCGATTTCTGCCTCCTAAGTGCAAGGATTACAGGCGTGTCCCAGAATAACACTGGGCTTCGATGCGATCCTCAATTGAATAACAAGATCAAGGAGAGTAGAACCGCTTTTGAACAACCTCATTCAAAGATAACAGGTAACGGATGACAGAAAGAAGGGGCGGAACTAGAGGTGAGCCCTGAATCTTTTGAGAACCAAAGATAGATTTCCCGGGTGGCCCAGTCACGCTTGACGTCGCGTAAACGTCGTGACGTACTGCCGCCTCCGCCCACCGTTCTACAGCCCCGCCCACAGGCTAAGAGCCGGTCAGGCCCGACGCAGGCCTCCCGGCCCCGCCCACCCTGCCGACAGTCCGTCCGGTCCGTAGGTGCGCTCACACGCACTGGGGGAAGTAGAGACCGCGCTCCCGAAGCAGCACAGCGTCGCAGATCCTGTAAGCCCACTGCCTCGCAACTTCGGCTCATCTTGTGTCGTGAGGCTCCCATTTCAGATTCCCGTGATAGCTTGAATCACGATTAAATTGAGCTCCGCCCCTTGGCGTTTACGACACCAGGGAAGGAGGGCTTTCCAGGCGCGGGACTTCCGCCTTGTCTCGCGGTAGGCGCAGAGCTTGTTGCCGTAGCCAATCGGAGGCTAGGTAGTGTCGCAGCAGCCAATTAGAAACGCAGGGATCACTAGCAATTTTGCTGTTGCCTCCTGAGCCTCTCAGCAACTCAATTCAATCCGTCTCCATCGCGTCTTTGTGAGGCTGATATTGGGAATAAGAGGCCATGAGGCAGGGCCAAAAGTGTAGGCCGATCCAGGGCAGGCCGATGGATTTCTGGGTATGGTTTCTAGAGCTGATGAGGGTACACCGAGAAAGGGACTGGTGGCGGGGTGGGGGTGGGGGGTTGGATGAAATGCAGTGTCCAAGAACCAGGGAAGAAAGCATGGAGGCGTAAGTAATTCACTGAGGTGCGAATCATTCCCTTATGTTTTGTCCTGTAGGTGGTGATGGGGAGATCACGTTGTCGCGTGTGGCGGCGTAAGATTCCAGAGGAGTTTGGATGAGGATGTGCTGAATCTTATTTCAGTGGCGGATGCTTCTATGAAAGACGTCGGCACCGTGTGGGAATGAGGCCAGCGGGGTAAGGCACTTGGGGATCTGGGAAGCTGCTGTGCCCTGGGAAATGGTGTGGCGTTGATTGCTTTCAGGATTGACAAGGTTTTACAGCAGCATCTCATTTAAACCCCTTATATTTACACGCTGAGACTTCAGTTTTGATAGAAATAAGAAAAGGGGTCAACTTATTTTGTTTGGCAAGGAGACTCAGCAAATTAACTGGACTTTTTCTCTTTATTTTGTTTAGATCCAGTTTAAAATATTACTGTCAAGGTATTACACCTGCTTTTCATAGTGATGATTCTACCTTAATGAAATTAACAGCGTTTACTTGTGTCTCGTTAATAGGCACAGGGCTAAGAATAATCGTGGGATGCCCACGGCAAATACTTTGCATATATAGGCGAGTATAGGGATGTGGGTTGGAATACTTTTCTAATACTCATCCAATTAACATGAATTAGGATAAATAAACAATAACATTGTTACTAGTTATCTTTGAGAAAAAGTTACATTTTTTAACAGTTTTTGAGGAATTGAATCCAGGGCCTCATGCATGCAAGGCAAGAGCTCTATCACTGAGCCACCTTCCCAGCCCTTTTTAACAGTTTTATTGAGAGTTGGAATATAAAACAGCAGGTACTCAGACAATTGGCAATGGTCACCACAGTCAGTATTTTGCAGTGCTGGCGATGGAAGCCAGGACCCTGTACACGCTAGGCCAGCTCTGTACCACACTGAACTTTATATTGGTCAGTCCTGGGGCCTGGATGTTGTTCATTAGCTCCTTTGCTCAATGCTAGGGCTCTACCACTTTGTGGTACATCTCCACTTCCAGTTTTCTGGTGGTTAATTGGAGATTAGAGTCTCATGGACTTCCTTGCCTGGGATGGCTCTGAATCATTACAACTCAGCCTCCTCAGTAGCTAGGATTACAGATTCCCAACTCAGCCTCCCAAGTATGTGGAAGTAGGACTTGGCCGATTTTTGAATGTTTTCATTGTGCTATAAAGAAACCAATTCTTGATAGCTAGCCCTCCCTCTCTCTGGTCCCTAGAAACAGCTAATTTACATTTTGTGTGGATTTGCCTGTTCTGTGTTCCTCACATAAAATGGAATCAGAGTTTAGCAAAATTGTAGCATATCCATCAGATGGTTTACATTTACTTTTTGTTCCTGTCCCTAGGGCTTGAATTCTAGGCCTGGGCACTATCCTTAAGGCTTTTGTGCTCAAGGCTAGTACTCTACCACTTGAGCCACAGCTCCACTTGTGGTTTTCTGGTGGATAATTGGGGATTAGAGTCTTAAGGACATTCCTGCCCAGGCTGTTTTTGAAATGTGATCCTCAGATCTCAGCCTCCTGAGTAGCTAATTACAGATGAGAGACACCAGTTCCTGGCTATTAACCTTTCTGTTGCTTTTTTTTGGGGGGGGAGGGGCGGGTACTGGGGCTCTTTCTTGAGCCATGTTTTCAGCCCTACTTTGGCTTATTAGCATTTATTGTCTGTTATGAATGATATTATGAACATTGGTTTACAAGTTTTTGTGTGGACCTGTTTTCTTTATTGTATACCTAAGTGAGATTTGCTAGGTCGTATGGTAACTAAGTTAGCGAGGCACTTTCAGATTATTTTCCAAAACAGTGAACTGTTTTGCCTTCTCACCAGCATGATGAGAATTCAAATTTTCACCATATGGATGAGAGTTAACTGGGCCACGTTTTCATTGGTATGAAATGGTGTCAGTGTAGTAGCCACCTTTTTGTTAAGGATGCAGAAGTATGCGGGGAACCTGTTAGAAGGTGCTCTTTGAGTTTAGAGACAGTAGCTTAAGATGAATTTCTTTTTTTTTTTTGGCTGGTCCTGGGGCTTAAACTCAGCACCTGGATGCTGTTCCTGAGCCTCTTTGTGCTCAAGGTTAGTGCCCTACAGTTGAGCTACAATGCCACTTCTGGCTCTTTTGAGTAGTTTATTGGAGATAAGGGTCTCACAGGGACTTTTCTGCCCAGGCTGGCTTCAAACCATGATCCTCAGATCTCCTGAATAGCTCCTTCTCCTGAGTAACTAGGATTACAGCCAGGAGTCACTGGCACATGGCAAGATGAATTTTTTTTGTTGGTGGTGGTCATGGGGCTTGAATTCTGGACTTGGGGGCTGTCCCTCAACTCTTCAGCTCAAGGCTAGCGCTCTACCACTTGAGCCACAGAACCACTTCTGGTTTTCTGGTGGTTTATCAGAGATAAGAGTCTCATGGACATTCATGCCCGGGCTGGCTGTGAACCTCGATCATCAGATCTCAGCCTCCTGAGTAGTTAGGATTACAGGCGTGAGCCACCGGCGCCTGGCTGCAAGATGGAATTTTTGATGTTTAAGAAAACTATGCATGGGTTGGGAATGTGGCTTAGTGGTACAGTGCTTGTCTAGCATTCATGAAGCCCTGGGTTAGATTACTCAGTACCACATAAACAGAAAAGGCTGGAGGTGGTGCTGTGGCTCAAGTGGTAGAGTGCTAGCCTAGAGCAAAAGCAGTTTAGGGACAGTGCTCAGGGTCTGAGTTCAAGCCGCAGGACTGGCAAAAAATAAACAAACAAACAACACTATGCATTTGAAATTAGAGGGTGTAAGGGGAAAAGTAGCGTTTGGATATAGTATTCAAATCCCATGTGAGTTATGATCATTAAAATACTTTTTAAGTGGTTACTACTTGAAGTGTAGTTTTAAAGTTGCAGTTGAGCCTAAGCTAATGGATTGCTGTTAAAATGGGTTCAAAGGTAACTTAAACTGCTAAGAAGCTGATACAGGAGGGAAGAGAGCTAGTTCAACATCTGCAGTGATGGCTCCTTTCTGCTTAATTGAATTCTTTCTCAGTGTAGGCTTTTACGTTTTAATTGCAAATGAGTTACCAAGAACTGCTCTTAGGTAGAAAAAAATTCTTAAAAGACCCAATGAGTAGAAACTACTGGATTACTTTACAGAAGTCAGAAAGGAGGGTGGAGGTGTATGTGTGGATGTCACTGCTCTAGATACTTAAGTAGTAATGCAGTCTTTGTGCCTTTTAAGATTCTCAAGTTGATTATTTGGTTACATCCTTGTTTTGTATTTTTGTGTGTGTGCCAGTCCTGGGGCTTCAACTGTCTTTGAGCTTTTGTGCTTAAGGTTAGTGCTCTACCACTTGAGCCACCTGAAATCCTCAGATCTCAGCCTCCTCAGTAAATAGCAGGCATTACAGGTATGAACCACCAGCACCCAGCAACATCTTTGCTGTGTGTGTGTGTGTGTGTGTGTGTGTGTGTGTGTGTGTGTTTGATGGGGCTTTAACTCAGGGCCTGTGCATTGTCCCTGAGCTCTACTACTTTGAGCCACAATGCCACTTCATTATTTAGAAACTTCATATCCGATGATTAAACCTTTCACTGCTGTTCACATAATGAACTGTTGTGATTACCAGATACTTAAATGAGGATATGTGAACTTTACAAAACCTAGTGTTATTAGAAGACATTGACCTTTGCACAAAATGACTTAAAAGAAAATATCTCTTTTTCAGAAATTATACTCTTGGAAATATCTGGACAAGATAACACAGATCTTGGAAGGTAATGGTTTGAAATATGCAGAAAAGGTAGCATACCTTTCTGCTTTAGAGCTACTAAGTATTCCTGGAGCTTTAGCATTGACTTGAAAATGGACAGTTCTCTCAGTAAAAAAGATGACTAAAAAAAGGCTTTAGTGAAATCCAAATCAGTCTTCTGTATAGAAGTGTTGTTAACTGGTCACATGGGAAAGAATAATGACAATTGACCAGTTAATATATGCCAAGCATTGTGCAAAGCTTACTACACCGGGAGAAGTTTTGTTTTTGTTTTGTTATGTTTTTAACAGGTTATTTCTTACTATAACCCTCTGAAGGCAAACATGGACTTTGAAAGCTTTGAGGTTTAAATTTGTGTTGTCCTGAATCTTTTTAGTTAATTTATAAGTTGTACAGTTTGCTTTTTGGGTATGAATATGGAGTGACCCTCTAGTAGTCAATACTAAATAGTTCAAAATAAGGCTGGTCAACGTTGGCTTGTGGTTGTATTCCCAACTTCTTGAGAGGTGGAGATTGAGAGAATTGAATTTCAAGGCTAGTGAGGAGTCGCACATCCCAATTAATCCAAAAAGTTTAAAACACTCGCTATCTCAGTTGGGTGGTTCTGGCTCAGGGAGATTCAGTCCCTGACTGATAATACTGAGGGAGAGGACGGCATCAGCTTCCAGGCTCACTTGGCAAGCTTTGCTTCCTTTCTGGCTATTATCTGTAGAATTTAATTCTTTGCATGTATACTTTTTCATAGTCTGACTGTCTTAAAAAAAAAAAAAAACAGCAGCTAGCTTCCTATAAAGAGAAAGATTGATCCAAACAAACTGTCAAGATGAAAACTTGTCTTTTAAAAGTTGCTTTTGGTACATTGTAGGAGAGAAACTAACTACAAAGGTGTGAATAGAGGTAGCAGTTCCAATCTATTACATTCAAGGATTTAGTGTTTAACTCAAGTAAATTTAGAAGTAAAGCAGTTCCAATTTATTAAAGAATTTAGTATTTAACTCAAGTGATGGTTCCCATCTGTCGTCTTTCTCCACCCCCTGTCGTGGGGCTTGAACTCTGGGCCTGGATGCTGTCTCTCAGCTCTTCAGCTCTTGGCTAATGCTGTATCACTTGAGCCACAGCACCACTTCTGGTTTTCTGGTGGTTTATTGGAGATAAAAGTCTCATGGACTTTCCTACCAGGCCTGGGGACTGGCTGTGTACCATGATCATCAGATCTCAGCCTCCTGAGTAGGTGGGATTACAGACTTGAGACATCTGTACCTGGCTAACAGTCCTTTTTCTAAGATATAATTTATTTTTGGTCTACATAGATGTAGATATAGGTGTTATATAATTGATATGATTTTCCTTTTGTGAAGTTTCTAGAAAACGAGAAAATTTATTTTAGTTAGAATTGTACCTTGATAGTTCTGAGGTAGTAGTAGAGAAGCTAATTTGAACTAGAATTATTGCTATAAATTGGGTATCCCTTTAGGTATTTTTGGGGATGCCACTATATTGACAGGATTAAATTTCTGTTAAGAGTTGTTCAAGTGTATCACCAAAGAAATATATGCTCCATGAAGCATAGGGCAAATAAATGTGTAGCTTTTCAGCAACATGGAAACACTTTGTTCTTTTTCCCAAAGGCCTGATTTTTATTTACCATAATTAAATATTGCCTTATTTTCTTTCTGTTGCTTATTTTCCAGTCTTTGAGGTTTTGCCTTTGAGATCAAAATATATACCATGTCAAGCAATCAGAATGCCACTGGTAGAATGTATGTAGTGCTAGAGACTTACAGTTTATCTTTTCCTTTTATCACTATTCTTCAGTTTCCTTGCTAGAAGAAACAATGCTCCCTTTTTCTTTTGAAGTAGTAGTTTCCTTCTGAAACCTTGTCTAATTAAAAAAGCATTAAACAGTTTTATAATAAAGTGTAGTGACCCTTTCCATGTCAGGCCTGATGTTGAGAAGTTACCTCAAGATGACATGGATTTACTTGAAATAAACTTTCGTTTTGGGTTTTTTTGTTTTTTTTTGGTGTTGGTCTTGGGCTTGAGCTCAGGACCTTGGGGAGTGTCCCTGAGCTTCTTTAGCTCAAGTCTAGCACTCTACCACAGTATCACTTCTGACTTTTTTTTTCAATTTTTTTTTGGGGGGGGTCCGGTCATGGGGCCTGAACTCTGGGCCTGAGCACTGTCCCTCAGCTCTTCAGCTCAAGGCTAGTGCTCTACCACTTGAGCCACAGCGCCACTTCCGGCTTTTTTCTTTTGCTTATGTAGTGCTGAGGAATTGAACCCAAGGCCTCTGGCATGCAAGGCATGAGCTCTACCACTGAGCCACCTTCCCAGCCCCTAAAGTGATATTCTTAATGGAGCTAAGATGTCTTTTTTTTGGGGGGGGGTCTGGTCATGGGGCCTGAACTCTGGGCCTAGGCGCTGTCTCTCAGCTCTTCAGCTCAAGGCTAGTGCTCTACCACTTGAGCCATAGTGCCACTTTCAGTTTTCTGGTCATTAATTGAAGATAATAGTCTCATGGACTTTGCTTCCCCGGGCTGGCTTTGAACCACGATCCTCAGATCTCAGCCTCCTCAGTAGATAGGATTACAGGTGTGAGTCACCAGCACCTGGCTGTAATTAAGTTTTAAATAAAAAAAAAATCTGAGAAAACTTCATTTTTATTTGATCTAGGATTAGATTTGTTTAGTAGTAGTCATTAAAATACTTTTAAATAATTTAAAGTAATTAATATTTGTTTGCTTTTTTTGGTACAGGTAGTCCTGGAGTTGCAATTTTCCAACGTGTGATTTTTGAGGACCACATGTAAACCTAGTCCTCGAACAACATGGTTAAAACTTCAGTGTTAGCTGAAACTAGTTTGTTGTTATTTCATTAGTTTACAGATCATCATTAGTTTTATTGCCCTCTTGCTCAGATTAATCTCATGACAATTTATAAAAATGAGAAATTAAGAAAACGAGCAACAAACTTAACAGGACAGCAAAGAAATAAAAATGATACTGCAAGTAACATTGGATAATGACTACAAGCAAAACTAGGCTTGTATGAAGCTATAGTTATGAACCATATGGAAAAAAGTCTGATGCTTTTTTAAAAAAATAAAATTGCTTCAACATCTTTTTCCTTTTGTTTTGTTTTTTTGGGTCCGGTCATGGGGCCTGAACTCTGGGCCTGGGTCCTGTTCCTCAGCTCTTCAGCTCAAGGCTAGCACTCTACCACTTGAGCCACAGCGCCACTTCCAGCTTTTTTATTTTTTCTGCTTATGTGGTGCTGAGGAATCGAACCCAGGGCCTCATGCATGCAAGGCAAGCAGTCTACCACTGAGCCATCTTCCCAGCTCTCCTCTTGTTTTATTAAGTAGTATAGGCAACATCAGTGTTGATAGTTTAAATTGTGCTGGTAACAAAGCTACGTATGGTTAATGAGATGCTTTCTTCTACTTTGGATTAAAGATTATAATAAAGAGCATATCTCAACTTTGGCCAGAGTTCAGGGAAGGTTGGTGTTAGTTGGTGCACTGAAAGAGATAGTTGCAAGTGAGTACTTTTTCTAATGAAGGCTAGTCAGCAGTTGGTATGAATCAATGTTAAATTATGTGGTGAAATTGCACGATAGTTAAGACCATATTGTGCAAAATCTTTGCAGGATTTGGATGTTGTATTATAAGATATAAACAAGGGAATGTTGGTACTGCCTCCATTGTAGGCAGCTCTAATATGCAGCCAGAGGACCAGTGTAGGTGAAATGTTGCAGTCCATCATGGAGGCTAAGGTGTGGAATACCCTATAATCACAATTTCCAGGAAGCAGAATTTTATTCAGTCAGGTTCACTGGATTCATCATCACAAACCCATTTGTCCTAGTGAGAGTGGCTGTGACCAAAGATCTGAGAAAGTAATACTAGCAAAACTTTCACATTAGGAAATTCTTAAGATACTAGATGACATTTAAAGAACAAAGGATGAAATTTTGATTGCTAACATATAGGGAAAATGCTCCCTTTAAGTGTAATGATAATGCAAGTACTGATAATGATGCTATAAGTTATAAAACACTTGGTCATTTTCTAATATTCTAAATGACAGTACTAAAAATTAGAAATTACTATTACATTTCTAGCCAATAGCAAAGAAATTGTTGATACTGAAAGCTCTCAATTTCTCAGATTAAGGTAACATTGCAATTGAGTTTCTCACTGGAATTTGTGTCGTTTATAGTTCAAACCTTGTGTAATTGAAGTATTTTTCTTTTTTTTCTTTTTTTTGGTCCGGTCGTGGGGCCTGAACTCTGGGCCTGGGCACTGTCCCTCAGCTCTTCAGCTCAAGGCTAGTGCTCTACCACTTGAGCCACAGCGCATCTTCCGGCTTTTTTCTTATTGCTTATGTGGTGCTGAGGAATTGAACCCAGGGCCTCGAGCATGCAAGGCAAGCGCTCTACCACTGAGCCACCTTCCCAGCCCCTGAAGTATTTTTCTAAAGGACCATGTAAGTTGAGAGTTTGAAGGTTTTAGCTACTTTTTTTTTTTAAAGGAGACATTGAGTGTGAATGTATTCCAATGAGATGTAAGAAGAAATTGTATAGGTTTCTGGTTCAAAATTTTTCATATGTGCATGTGTGTGCCTGTACTAGGCTTGAATTCAGGACCTGGGCATTGCCCTTTAGCTGGACCTCTACTACATGAGCCAAAGTTCCACTTGCAGCTTTTTGCTGGTTAACTGGACACTAAGGAGAAAGTTCAAAAGTTTATCTGTTCATGTGAATCTCCTTTAATTTTGATTATGGCTCTACCAATTTTTGAACTCATGGACTTTCAGCCTGCTTTTATTGGTCATGGGGCTTGACCTCTGGGCCTAGGTGCTGTTCCTCAGCTCTTCAGCTCAAGACTAGTTAATGCTCTACCACTTGAGCCAGGGCACCAATTCCAGTTTTCTGGTGGGCTAACTTTGAACAGTGATCCTCAGATCTCAGCCTCCTGGGTAGGTAGGATTACAGGTTGAGCCACTGGCACCCAGCCAGCCTGCATTTTTTGTTGGTTAATTTGGAGATGGAGTCTTGCACATTTTTGCCTGGGCATTGCATGGAACAATCATCTTTAACATCACAGCATCCTGAATAATAGTAAGTTAGGCTTGAGTTACAGGTATCTTGTTCAAATACCCCCTTTTTAATGTCAGGTTTTTTTTTTTAAATTTTTTGCTACTTCTATAGATAAATTTAACTTTGCAGTGTAAATTATGATGGAAGGCATTTTTATAACAATAAAAATGGGCCACTGTAAGCTAATCTAATTATCAAACCTGTAGAAGTAAATTTGGTTTTTGTGTGATCACACTTGCAAAAATGTTTTCTAGTTTTGACCATATTTTACTGTATGGTATGTTTGTGTATATATCAGCAGTTTTTTTTTTTTTTGTCCATGGTAGGCAAGCAACCTACCTGCTCTTTATTTTTTGAGACCCTATGTATTTCAGGCTGGTTTCCAACTCAAGACCCTTCAGTTTGTGACATCTTAATCTTGGTGTCCACAAAATAAACATTAACTTCCAGTTAAGGCATTTAGGAAAGGTGCTAAGGGTTGGCATTAGGCGATGACTACAGTGTAAGAAAATTAGTTAAGAAAGCCCACTCCCCACCCCGCCTCCCACCCGGGCTGGCAAGGTGGCTCAGTGGTAGAGTGCTTGCCTTGCATGCACGAGGCCCTGGGATTGATTCCTCAGCACCACATGAGCAGAAAAAGTCGGAATTGGGGCCATGGCTCAAGTGGTAGAGCCCTAACCCTGAGCTGAAGAGCTGAGGGACAGAGTTCAGGCCCCACAATCGACAGGGGAAAAAAAAGCCTCCTCTGCCTTGTCCCCTGTATAATATTTACTACCTAAACTAAAAGTTAATGTAGGCAACACACAAGACTAGGTAGGTATTACTATTAGTTTTTAGTATGCTTGTAGGCATTAGTATTGTCTTAGTATTCCTTCAACGAAATGCTTGGGACTAGAAGGACTTCGGAGATTTCCCAAGTTGGGGTATTCCTATAGGTCTGAAATGGCTGAGGATCCCTAGTGCCAAACGGCATCATACTGGCGAGTCAAGATGGGCATCAAGGAAGAGTACTGGAAGGATTGAATACCGCGGGATAGTAGGTAGAACTGACATACCTTCCCCACTGACGCTGCGTGTTGGAGTATGCCTACAGTTGCCTGTGGATGTGACCATTTCGTGTGTTTTTATAGTTCTCAAAGCACACAACTATAAGCCCAGTAAGCAACTCCAGGAGCCCAGTCACGAACCAATAACGTCCTCGCAGCCCGATCTTCCCGTGGTTTGCTGCGGGCAGTGTGCTGCCGCCGCCTCTTCAAGTGCTACGTGGCGTTCCCGGGGCCGCCGCGGGGCCTCAGGCCGGTGGCTACGCCCAGAGGGACTAATCCTTGATCCTTGGTCTGGCGACCTCATCCAGAGCGCCAACCCTCAAGTTGTCTGTGACCCCTGACCCCGCGATCGGCAATCCAGAGCCCAGCCTCTCTCCCCGGCCGCCCCCGACTCCGCAGCGGCTCCCGGAAGTGCTGTGGCGGGCCGGGTGGGCGGGGCCGCACGTCGTCTCCGGAAGTGTCGGCAGGCAGGGCGGGGCTGCGGCTGCCACGTTGGAGCGGAACGTGGTGGTGGTTTGGCCGGGGAGGAGGGGCGGCGGCGAATCCTGGGAGAGTCCGAAGGGCGCTGCGCTAACGCTGAACGGGTCTCTGTGGGTGCTCGTCAGGCCCGTGGCCGCTTGACTTCCTCGCCGGCCGTCAGACTTGGAGGTAAAAGTGTAGGCCGCAGCTGGGACCCCGGCCTCGCTCTCCGCCCGCCCCGTCAGGCTGAGGCCCGGTCCCGGGTGACGGCGCGCCCCAGCGCCTGCGGGCTCGGCGGGACAGCGTCTGGCCTTCCAGGCCGGCATCCGCCGCCGACGATTCCCGAGCTGAGCGCCAGGTCCCCCGAGGCTTAGCGCCGCGTGTCGCCGCGTCGCCGGGAGTCGCCGCCGGGCTGCTCACCGGAGTGTGAGGTTAGGAGACCTTCGGACCCCGTGCACAAAGAGATGAGATCCCCCTCCCCGGGGCGAGGGGAGGAAACGAGCCTCCGAGGATTCCGTCGACTCGGGCTTGGTTGGGATTTTCGTCTATGTTTGGGCGGTTGCCAATTTAAGGGTTCAGAGGTTGGAACGGAAGGTCACTCATCATTTAGGGTTGGAGAGTATGGGGGGGGGGGAGCAGTCCATCGTCGTGAGTCACAACCCGTCCTTGGAGTGACAGGGAAGTGCCATTGAGCATCGTAGGCTTTCGCTGACAAATTGTGATGATCAGTTACATGGTCGGGTAGCTGTGAAATAAATCCAAATACTGCCCGGACCTGTGGGCCCGAATCAACTTTTCGGTAAACTCGGAGCACTCATTTTTACATAGGTTCTCTCTTGACATTGTAATGATGCGCTGTCGTCTCCTAAACTACAGTAAAACTGGAAATTGGTTCTCCGTCGTCAGATGTAACTCCATTTAATTAATAATGAGCTCTTCCTGGTTATCACCGTATCCTCGTTTTTTCCTCCCATCTCGATAGTTCTCGAGCTGGCTAACAACATTTGGTCTCCTTTTTAGTGGTGGTTCCGTGCTGGCTTTCCCATTTTTGCCTTAGTTACAGTTCCGGGGAAAGTTTATAGGCTTTAAGAACTTTCGAGTCGTTTGAACTGTTTTTATAATTGTTGACTAATGTTGCACACATTTGCAGTTGTTAGGGAAATGTTGAATTTCAGATCACTTTTGGATCATCGGATTGTTTTCCGAACTAGCAATATAAGAGTGAAAAGAAATTTGTAAACTAAAAAAGCCCAAGTTGATAAGCAGTCTTTTAAGATTCTGCTCCCTTTTGAGAATATTAAAATATTGGATCATTGCCTAGAAAAACATGTATATACATCTACAGTTTTCTGTGTGCTTTCATGAGCTTTACAAATCCCAAGTAAATACTTACAAGGTGATAGTACTAAATTTAATTTTTACATTTTTAAGAATTGAATGTAAATGTTATATTGCCATTATAAATATCTCCATTCTTACGTAGGTTAATTTCAGCTCAGAAAGTTTCATCATCCAGCAGATTAGTATATTTAATTCAATAAGCAATGCAGAGTTGCTTCCTTTGCTTTGTGTTAGTGAACAAATGTTCCCTCTTTAAGTAGCTATTTTGCCCAGATAAGATGGATCTTTACTAAAATGAGTGCCAGGAAAGGATTAGATTGCTACTTTGGAGTAGTTTCCCATTACTGCTTTTTCTTTTCACTTTCTGAGGGTTGGATGGGTCAGCTATATGTATACATAGCATATGAAGATTGGCTAGTTTTCAAAGAATAGTACTCTTTAGATTATAGTTGCGCTTCACAAAATTTGCCACTTGAAAAGGAGCAGAATTTTCATTTAATTGAATGCAATTATTGTGGACAATTATTGAGTGAAAAGTAAGGACCATTGGTGTTCCTTAGCTGTGTTCCTGAAGATAAATTGAGTTAGACTTTTAAAATTGTGATTTTTATAATAGCCGTCATTTGTGAACATTTATTTACTATATACTAGAGGCTGTTCTACTAGAGTAGAACTCATTTAATTCTCACAAGAGATGCTTGTAGGTACTCTTAATGTATTTATTTTACTGAGAGAGGAGCCAAGATACCCATAAGGATAGTTATCTCACCAGAATTAGAGCTGAGATACCGAAATTGAGATTTAAATTTAGGGTGTGTTTCACAGCACAAACTCTCAACTGCTGTTTTATAGATTTTCTTTTCCTGGTGATATATGAATAATTGTGTTCTAGGGTTGGGAAGGTGGCTCAGTGGTAGAGTGCTTGCCTTGCACACATGAGACCCTGGGTTCGATTCCTCAGCACATAAGCAGAAAAAGCCAGAAGTGGTGCTGTGAACCTTGAGCTGAGGAGCTGAGGGACAGCACCCAGATCCAGAGTTCAGGCCCCATGACTGACTAAAAAAAAATTGTGTTCTACTTTTATAATGAATATGTTCTATATAAAGTATGTTTGAATCAAGCAATTATAAATAGTGTAATAGTGAGAATCCTAAAATATAAAGAACAAAATTATGCACAGCTTTTTTTTTTTTTTTTTGGTGGTGAGGCTTGCACACTGGGCCTGGGCGCCATCCCTGAGCTCTTCAGCTCAAGGTTAGCACTCTACCACTTGCCACAGTGCCACTTCTGGTTTTCTAGCATTAATTGGAGATAAGAGATTCATGGATTTGCCTGCCGGTGCTGACTTTGAACTGCTGTCCTCAGATCTTAGCCTTCTGAGTAGCTGGGATGAAGACATGAGCCACCGGCGCCCAGCTTACACACAGCTTTTAAAGCTAGTCTTATTTTAAAGTAAATATTGTTTCATCTAAAAAGTCTTTATGATTTCAAGAAAATCTTTTACAATGAAATGAGTGTTTCTAAGTGAAGGAAATACACTGGGATCCAGTAAAGCTGTATTTCATAATATTTTTAGTTTGAGAATGAGTGCAATACGTAGGTACATTATGGTAACTTTACTAGATAGTCTAAGCCATTATGTAGTTTAGAGTGTGGAGGGGAGTGTTTTTATACAGTTATCACTAAACCTTGTATTCAAGTGGAGCTTCTTCTAATAGAACATTGAGTACTAGAGCTAAGAAATAAATTTAATAAATCTTTGAATTTCCACCTAACGGGGGTAGTTCTTGTGAATGTCTAAGCACTCACTAAATAGCTCTTGTACCTTCGCTGCTAGAGATGCTGTAATTCTAATCATTTTAAAATAGTTATCTTGTTTTTCTTGTTTAGAAATTATTCTGAAATCATGAACTTTTTCCTCCACACAATATTTCCCCCTGTGTTTTAAGTAGTAAAAGTTCCTCTAGTCAGCTAAGAATTCAAAAATTGTTTTATCTAAAACTGGTCTTTCAAGATCATCAAGGTACTGATGTGCCTTTAAATATTTAGATTAAAAACATCTGCATAGTTAATACCAAATTAAGCAGTTTGATACTCAAAAGATAAAAATTGAGATTGAAAAATTAACAAGATAGCACATTAAGTAGTATGTAAAAAACCTGAATTGGACGATAGACAGTAGATGCTCATCAGGTATTATGAAGTATCTAGTTAAAGCAGAGTGGCATTTTATTGTAAGATGCCTCATTTGTGGTACTGTCCCTTATGAACAGTTCAGAGCTTATTTAGGTCATTGTAGGTTGGATCACAGGGCAACTTTCATGAATGAGATGGAACTTGAACTTACTATATGTTTAAAAAGAGAGCACTCCTTGCTTTACTTAGGATAAAATTGTAATTCTTCATCCAAAATAATCTTTTTTTTTTTTTTTGGGTCCGGTCGTGGGGCCTGAACTCTGGGCCTGGGCGCTGTCCCTCAGCTCTTCAGTTCAAGGCTAGCGCTCTACCACTTGAGCCACAGCGCCACTTCCGGCTTTTTTCTTTTTGCTTATGTGGTGCTGAGGAATCGAACCCAGGGCCTCATGCATG